CGAGTGCACCACCAATGAGCGGACCAAGGACAGGACCAAGCTGAGGTCCCATCAAAAACCATGCTAAAGCGGTTCCACGTTTGGCAGGCTCAGTGATATCAGCAACGGTACCGGCTCCGACGGAGAAGACGATACAGGATCCGAATGCCTGGAAGACACGGAGAATGTACAGCTCCGCGATATGTGGTGGCAGCACAGCAAGTAGGGTGTTCGCGACGAGGAAACTGCCGAGTCCGACCATGTATACTGTTTTCCTTCCGCCTAAGTCTGAGGCAGCAGCACCGAAGAGAGGCTACGCAATCTTAGTTTTGCATTTCGAGATGCCGGTACGGATGACTTACGGCAATGGCGAACACCATCATATACATTGAGACTGTACCGTTTACCGCAGTCTCCGATGCATTAAAGATCTTCTCGAAGATCTTCAGAGAAGGCAAGTAAACAGCTCCGCATAGTGGGCCAAAGAAGCCCGCCGCTGTAACAACGCCTAGAATGAACCTCCTGCGGTTCACCGAAAAAGCCGAGTATGGTTCTGGCAGCGACGGAAGAGCAGTCGGACCATTCGTTGGTGGTTGCTCAGTTTCCCTCCTGGGTTGTGCTAAAGGGTAGTCATCGCTGTCGATGCTCTCTCGATACCGGCCATTATGGCGATCCTTCACGAAGTCGATTGGAGAACGCATAGCAAAAGAAGAGAAGAAAACAATACGATGCGAATTAATGCTCGATGAGGAGCGTTCTTGGAACCCAAGAGAACAGACAAGACGGATATGTACGGCGACGTCAAACCTAGATTGCCCAAACCTCGGAGCGTACTATGTGCCGATTAGGAGCAGCACTGGACATTAAAGTACAAACCCTTGTCTTGACCACCGTTACGTGGCGGTTGACAGGTCGCAGCATAGCCCTGCTTCGTACACTGCCCATGAGAAGGCGCCCTGTCTTAAAGGCAGTATTGTCGTCTCCGCTGCGGTCAGGTTTCCCACTAGAGGATTGCTGAGCCGCACCCCACGCCGCATCCGCATCCTCATCGTCATGCACCCCGCTGTTCTAGCCTCAGGGCTTTCCAGTCGCGGATCGTGCTAGGTGCGCGTCATTGTTGGTGTTGGAAATCGTCCGACACAATGACCCGACGCCACGACTCGTCGCAATGACCCGACATAAATTCTAGCAATACCTAGGTACACATGCCATTTCTTATACGTGTGATCATGCATGCAACGGCTAACGCTTGCTAGAAGTTCTAGGTGAAGCCATCTTCATTGCGTCTGCATCCGGCTCGTCATGCTGCATTTCGTGGTGTGCGCAGATGTGGCGGCTACCCTATTCTACGCATGAAGATGTTCGTCATTGCCGGCGATGGCAAAGGGTGGGATGAAACAGTCACAGCCTCCACCAACGATTTACATCCTCTCAGGCGTTAGGGCATTCATCTCGGTCAATAGACTTAGAACAACAGGTGGCGCAAGCTCTTGCCATTTGTCTCTCCGCTTCGCTCGATCCGGCCACAACTTTAGGGCGCCTGCGTTCATACGCCAAAGTACCCGGCTCTTGCATCGTACTCACGCATATCCTCAGCACATTGTTGTGGTCCATGAGGCAGAGTGAAGGCGGGCGAGTCCGCTTGGACGACGATCGTGGCAGCGAACCCGGACACGACATGAACGTCGTCAGTGTGATGAGTCGAGGGCTGACCAAGTTTACCACCTATCCGTACCCATCGGGAGTCACTGCTGGCTTTGATATGACATTGCATCGGGTTGAGCATATACGTCGTGCGGAAAACGCAACAAATCGCAGCAAGAGTATACCTGTAAACGTCATCGGCTGATATACTGTTGTACCAACACCGTCAGCGCATGTTTACCCAGCCAACTACTTCAACGCCGCGCGATGCACGTAAGCCCATTGGCCCAAGTTCATCGTCGCCCTCCAACCGATGTCCCAAAGACAAGCATATCGCAATGTTGGGAAACTCACGATATTGTTACAGCGACGCGTATACCCACGTTCTGTTCAACGATCGATCTGTCATTGCATCCAACATGCAGCATCGCATGTTCATCCAGCCTACCTAGACCCTGCTTTGATTCGCCTCTCGAGTCTCGCAACCAAAACCCCGGGACACGACTGCACGGCTTCCCACTGCGCTTGCAATAACAATTCATCTATCGCACGTTGGCTAAAGAGCGCTCTGCCTGTAAGCTGCACTCCCAACACATGCAACATAAGCGGCCCGTTCCCCTCGCATCACCAACAAACAACCACGACCTGCATGCCATCCAACATTATTCCGCGCCTCAACACCTGCCGCGCAGTATCATCTTGTCATGATTGCGCAGGATGCGGACGAGGGCGCGAAATCTGCTCAAAACCTTGGAAACCTTCTCACCTCGCTTACCATCTAAACCTATTCCAGCATAGCGCTCTGCGGCCCGCCCTTGCTCTTGGAGTCTCTTCGACTATCGAAACATGGGCCAGCAGGTCTGTTACCGATCCATCTCGTGGTATGGTAGGCTGGGTTTATGAATGGCAGTCTTTGATCAATACTGGCATGCGGTGGCGCCGTGTGCAAAACTTCGGGTACCGCGTGGGAACGGGTGCGAGAAGGGTTCCGGGCCTGGCACTCCCTAGGTAGGAGCTTGCACCACAAGAAAGCGATATAAACGCCGCGATTCCACGTTTACTCTCCGGAAATATCCTTAGTGGCAGACTTCACTTCAGTTTCAGACTTCTTTGTTCGTCAAAATCTCCGCGTTTGAAGTGTGAATCATTTGGGGTGGTTGCCGCTTCCATTCAAGGTCACGCAGGGGAAAATCTGCTCATAACTTGCTCAACCCTACTTCTCACACCACTCATATTCATTCACTTGCGCTGTTTCGTTTCCAACAAATTTTTGGTAGGCCGTGCTTTGATTGCAGTCGCTGCGATATAACTTTGGACTTCTTTCTCACTACCTTTCTATGCAGGTACAAGCAATCATGTCTATGGATATGGAAATGTCGATGGCTCCGACAAGCACCGGTATGGCTATGTCGGGCATGTCTATGGCGCCGACTGCTACCGGCATGGCGCCAATGGCTACTTCGTCAGGCGGAATGGGTGGCATGGATGATATGGCCGATATGATGGGCGGATGCAAGATTAGCGTAAGTTCTATCTCGTGTGCTCTCAAGGTCAGGAGACGAGAGCCTTTAGCTGACAACCCATCTCACAGATGCTGTGGAATTGGAACGTTATAGACACATGTTTCATCGCAGAGTCCTGGCACGTCCGCACGAAAGCCATGTTCGCCGGCTCCTGCATTGGCGTAATCCTCCTCGTCATCCTCCTCGAGTTTCTGCGGCGCGCAGCTAAAGAATACGACCGCTACATCGTCCAGCAACACTCAAAGACACTCGCTTCCTCAGCGAGCGGCTCCTTTTCCTCCTCTTCATCGAACGCAAACGACAGCACGACTAAGCATCCTGCTGCTACAACATCGCCAGCTGCTTGCGGCGCCATGGCTGCGACGACGAGCAAGTTCCGACCGAGCATTCTACAACAGGCGGTTAGAGCGGCATTGCACATGGGCGCATTTGCTGTGGCTTACTTCGTCATGTTGCTGGCGATGTATTACAACGGGTACTTTATCATCTGCATCTTCATCGGTGCGTATCTTGGATACTTCATCTTTGGGTGGGAGAGCTTCAACGTAAGCAGTGGGGGCGAAGATCGTATGCAGGAGAATGCCACAGTTTGCTGTGGGTAGGAATGTAGATGTTTGTCAGGATAGACTACATGATTCGAAAGTATCTGCGAAATTAGCGACAATGACAAGAATTCACGATTTGTAGTAACATATGGCACATGTGTTGTGGTAATGAAGTGATTGATTGTCCTGTGTGGTATCTCATGAGCCGCCGAACTCCCCTCATCCCCTAATCATCGGACACCTCTAAATAACCACCCGTGGCATATATCTTGGTAGACTCCATATGGTGCATAGCTTGTAAGATCGTCTGCACAGTCTCAGCATGGATGTCGCGTGTGTAAGTCTTACGATGGCACTCACAGTATCGTATTCATTGCACGCCATCAATGCGAGGATTGAATGACTTATTTGCCCTGAAGAAAGGTCAGCATCGTGTTCGTAAGAAAGACAGGGTATGACATACGGGGCAGCCATCGCAAGTGCAGGTGGAGCCGCAGTTGCAGCTACCAGAAGCACAGCCGCAGTTACCCTTCATTATTGATGGTTGAAGATGGGTTGTTGGTTTGTGGGAAAGTAGGTTGATATAGTTGTTGGCTTGATGGAATTGACTTGATTGTTGTGATGTAGGAGTAAGCAGCAGAGGGCCAGCAACCAACTTCTTATATACCCGAAGCATGCGCGACTTGTGCGGCAGCACAGCCAAACGCAGGGCCCTTCACGCCACCTCTTCCCTGCGGTAACGCCGTCAGCGGCGGCTCCCGTTCATGTGCTTCACGAGCTTTGCCCCGCATCCCACCGTGTTTGTGGCATTGTTGACTGTAAGCTTTGGCCTCAGTGGTCGATAGCTCCGTTGGTAAGTTTAGCCGCGTGCACGCGTTTTGTGCTATTGGCTCCCACTTATCTTGCGTACATTGTGCGGTTGGTCGGCTGGTTGCGCGGGGGCATGAGAGACTTGTGCGGTTGGTCTAGCCTGGCTTCTAGAAAGTGCCAGGGCTTGCCTCGGGAGAAAAGTGGAGTTGCGTAGTTTGTGCGGATGGGTGCCAAGGCATCCGGACCGTGGGTACAGGTCGGATTCGGGCCTTATGTCTGTTTCCGTCCCGCGATAAGAGACACCAGCGTCGTGAACGTTTCCGGGTTACAGAACCATGAGATGCTTTAGTTGGACTGTAATGTCAAGTCTGGCCCAATGATAGAAGAGGAAAAAAAGTGTTTGTGTAAAAGAAAGAGGGCCTGGCAGGCGATTCTTCTTGACTACGAACGTAGGTACACGACACCTTTGAGCCAGATTATGGACTTTGTCCTGTGTTGGTCAACCAATAAATTTGCCACCGCAGTATATGCAGGCATCGCAAGCAAGAAACAATACCCGTGCCAGCGTGACAGGGATTTCCTTGCGTTCGTACACATCGCCTTCATCGTCGGAATCGTTGCTTTCTTGATCGCCTCCTTCTTGGTCGCTAGAACCCTCTTCATCCATCTTGTTCAACGGATCGCTGCTCTCCTCCCTTTCCTCTGATATCATGCCGTTTCTAGTCACGCCAGTCATGACCGTGTTATCCTCAGCGTCAGAGCTATTATTGCGTTCCACGTCTTCTTGGGCCATGATGAACTCGTCGCTTAGAAATGGTGTGCTGCATATACCACAGTACTTTGTGATGCCGGGCGCCTGGATAGCCAGGAAAGTGAGGCCACATCTAGGGAACACATGTCCGTTGGTGCATGTTGCTGATCGGGGGTCTGCGAACGGTATAAATGCGGAGCAGAAATCACAAGTATCTGCTACTGGGACTGCTGGGCCTCGATTCGTCGAAATGCTGTTGCCATGCATACCGGTGCTGACTGATGATGCGCTTTCCTGCTCCGAAGTTCTGTCTGCGGGCAAGGACTCGGATGCATCGTCATTGCCCATGACCATGTTGATGAGTGTGACGAGTTGTTTGTGATGCGTGCGAATTTCTGCGCTGAAGGGCGCATGCGATAGTGATGAAGGAAGTTGTTGCAAGGCCACGGCAAGGCGATACGCAATTAGAGTCTTCGGTAGCTCCTTATTAATCTGCGTCTTGTAGGCTTCAGACACAAGGATGGTATAGCGATCCTTCAGTGTAGGTGATTCAAGGAAAGCAATCGCCTTGAAACCCTTGATCAACGAATCGAGATCGTTGACATCGAAGTACGCTGCTGATGCGGTCGTGTCCATCTCACTGACAGGAGGACCTGTGTAAGTCTCAACTAGCTTTCCAACCATCTCATCCGCGAATGCAGGTATGTCATCAGGGTCCTCGACAACTTCTTCTGCCAACTTCTTAAGACTGTACATGAGTCCTTCTGAAGTTACGTTCTCTTTTGGAAAGATGTCCCGTGAACGGCTGCCAGGTCGCAAAGAGCTGATAGCCACGGCACCACTACGGTCAGCCGGAATACCGTACTCGATCATATCGGAAGGATGTACGCTGTTGCATGCCGCGATGAAGTCGCCTAGCGGAGATCTCGTGAGGCCCCATACCTTGGCCCTGCTATTGCCTTTAAGTTCGTGCTTTACACTAAACAGTGCGAGATTGTTTCCGATTCTCTCCCGCCATTCTGGGGCATCAAGGCTTTTGAGCCCATCAGGAGTCTGCTCGAGGATAGCAGTTGGGCTGTGGAGTGTCGATAGTAGAGAGCTTATATGGAGACGAGGTGTTGTGGCCTGAGTCGTGTCCCAGACAAGGCCTGAAACTGGATCCCATCGACCGTCTAGATCATGCGTGCTCCTTTCGATGATAGAAGCGTCAAGAGCGGATATCGTTAGATATACTAGTCCCGTATTCGTAAAGAGGGCGAGCTTTAGTCTGTATTCATCTTCGACTCGGTGAAACCATTTCATCGGGCCATCATATCGCATTTCGTGGCCTGCATAGACAACTTCTTGCTGCAAGCTCATACGCCCAGTGTTGTACGTGATAGTCCGCGCCCGTATATCCTCATTCGTAGCGTATACCAGTACGGAATAATAACACCCGTCGCGTATGATCCAAGGACTCCAAGCAATATGCGAGATGTATCTTTGCTGTTTGATCATGTCTTCGAAGATATTGGGTTGTGGGAAGATCGTGTCCGAAGAAAGTGCAAAAGACTCATGTGTTAACACGTCTGCCCTCCAGTCTGGCTCAGCTCCTAGGGAGGACGTGGGCGTTTCAACCTTGAGAAACACGAGGTGATTATCGTCATCAGAGACAACTAGCATGTGCGGGCCGTATACCAAGTGAGTACCGACAACACCAGCCGGCCCTGGGCAAGGCAGAGCGGGTGCCCAGGCGAACGCTCGAATGCGGCCTCTCGACCGCAGTCGTTCCTTGGAATCGTGCACCACATGGCTAGGTTCGTGGTCCCAGTCTCCGAAGTGGTCAACGAGCGCATCGTTGATGATCAATCGTCGAGTCCAACTGGTCTCTTCTTCTGGCTTGCCTTCTGCTGCTGACCAGAGGGAAAGCGTCAAGTTTGCGGTAAGAGCAGCAAGCGCACATTTTCGATGTTTAGCAATACCGGGCGGTGACCACGCGATGCTGATGGGAGCGCTGTTAGAAATCTCTTCGCCGACGGAGTAGTTAGATGTTGGCGCAGGTTCTTTGAGTGGGAGCTCATCGGTCGAGAACAAGGGTACCTTGAGAGGCACATGCTGCCATTGCGGCAAGACTTGGTCCCGCTCGAAGTCGACGGTGTTCGGAAACTAGGTAATCATTAACAAAAAGGTCTCGTGTAAGTATCTGCACGGAAAGGTACTCACGAGCAGCTCTACGCGCTCATCCGACGCTAATGCAATGATGCCGTCGGAAGACCAATCGATTGCATCGACGCAGGCCGGCCAGCATCTCAGCACTGTCACGTCCGCCATGATCGCGCATCAAGTCTCTGAATAAGTGGTCCCTGTTGTTTAGTGGTTCTGGTCATGGCTCACTGTGGTGAGGGAGATCGTGAATAGGTTTCGACTAGCGCGAAAACCCGAAAAGCCTTGACGTAGGAAGCGCAACAAGTCTCGAATTAACGACTTTTGCATACAATGACTAAAACCTTCACATAGCACTTCGTGGACGTGCAGGGACGTGAGAAGCATCGAACACGCGAGATTTGCTGGCCCAGGATCGCGTTGAACGCTTTGGGACTAGTTCCGGACTTATCGATAGTGCTGGTACCGACCGCCGACGAAAAAGTGATTTTTCCGCCGTCCTTCTCAACTTCTCCACACGAAGCATTGCCAACCAACAAGATGGGGAAAAGACCGATCTCTGACGTCGTCGCTGAAGACGGCGCGACCACGACACCCGAACTTTCAAGAAAGAAGAGCAAAAAGGACAAGAGCAAGAAGCTCAGCAAGACCGCTGCAGTAGATGCGACCGAGACAAATGGCGATGCGCAGGCTGTAGAGAACTCGGACGACGAATCGAGTCTGTCCAAGGCCGAGCGCAAGGCGGCAAAGAAAGCAAAGAAGGCGGCTAAGGAAGCGAAAAAAGCGCTGAAGGCTGCCGCGGGTGCCGATTCAGACGAGCCTGCGGAAGAGAACGAGGAAGCCATCAAGGCAGCAGAGAAGGCTGCGCGAAAGGCAGAGAAGAAGCGCGCGAAGGCATTGGCCAAGGGCGAAGCTACCGAGCCCGTACCCTCCTCCAAGCCAGCACCGGTCGAAACCACATCGAGCGCAGCCACCGTCGAATCCGGAGACTATGTAGAGAGCAAAGAGCTGACCCAGCTTCCCCAGTCGGAGGTCGATGCCTTCCTCGCCAAGAACACGATGGCTATCCAAGACCCCAAACCTGCCGCTCGCAAGCTCCGTCCTATCCTGAACTTCAAGTACCTCCCGGTCGACGATGCGCAACGCGCCTTCTTCGCCAAGTTCAGCGCCCCTACACCTATACAAGCCGCCGTCTGGCCATACTTGCTCTCAGGCAGAGACATGGTTGGTGTTGCTGAGACAGGTTCCGGCAAGACGCTCGCGTTTGGTGTACCCTGTGTGCGCTACATCGCAGCGCTGCCCAAGAACGAGCGGAAGGGTGTCAAGGCCGTCATTGTCTCACCTACGCGTGAGCTGGCTGTTCAGATCTACGACCAGTTGGTAGCGTTGGCGACACCGGCTGGACTATCTGTAGTCTGCGTGTACGGCGGTGTGCCAAAAGATCCTCAGGTTGCCGCTTGCAAGAAGGCGCATATCGTGGTCGCTACGCCCGGTCGTTTGAATGACTTAATTGGCGATGGCTCAGCAGATCTCAGCAAAGCCGAGTACGTAGTACTTGACGAAGCCGACCGCATGCTTGATAAGGGTTTCGAAGAAGCAATTCGGCAAATCATCTCGCAGACGCCCAAAAAGCGCCAGACCCTCATGTTTACTGCTACGTGGCCGCCCTCCGTCCGGGATCTTGCATCTACCTTCATGAACTCGCCGGTTAGAATCACAATCGGCGACAACCAGTCTGGCGAGCTCCGCGCCAATGTGCGCATTAAGCAGCTTGTCGAGGTTGTCGATCCCCGCGGCAAAGAGCAGTGTCTGCTGCAGCTACTTAGACAGTATCAATCCGGCAAGAACAAGGACGATCGTATCCTCGTCTTCTGTCTGTACAAGAAGGAAGCAATGCGCATCGAGGATTTCATCCGCAGGCAGGGCTTCCGCGTGGGTGGAATTCACGGCGACCTGAGCCAAGAAAGGCGCAGCGCCTCACTGGCGGCGTTCAAGGAAGGCCATGTGCCCCTCCTCGTGGCGACGGATGTTGCTGCACGAGGTCTTGACATTCCTGCGGTGAAACTCGTCATCAATGTCACGTTCCCTTTGACGGCGGAGGACTACGTTCACAGGATTGGTAGAACGGGTCGTGCCGGAAAGGAGGGTTTGGCGATCACGCTCTTCACGGAACACGACAAAGCACTCTCCGGATCGTGAGTACCCCTTGCGCCTGGCTACATGTTTTCAGTGTGCTAACTCTATTATTAGGTTGATCAACGTCCTCAAGGCAGCCAACCAGCCCGTACCCGAAGAGTTGATGAAGTTCGGTACAACTGTCAAGAAGAAGGAGCACGGTGCATACGGCGCCTTCTACAAAGACACCGGAGACTCCAAGGCAGCTACTAAGATTACTTTTGACTAAGTCGCATGAGTCTAGCTGCGTGTTGTCAAAAGCGGACTCGGCATCTCGTAACGAAGCTGGTCGGCGAAGTAGATGCCGCCGGCTACAGCTGCAGCGCGGAGATCGACTTGTAGACCTAGAAGCATTTGTCTAGCGGAGGCGTTTCGGATCATGCAAAGCAAAAGTCCCGGTAGTGTGCATTGTTGTAGATCGCGATGTGTGTAGTAATTACGAGTCTGCACAATATCTCATTCTTCAGAACGAATATCCCATCTTATGCATGAGCTGAAGAGAATCCCCTGTCCTATAGCTTCCGGCTGTACCGTGCCTGAACAATCGTACGATTTCCAAACCTGCGTATCCTCAGGTCCACACGAGAAGAAGGCTTCAGCCACCTCATCATATCGTATGCACTTGTTCCTAGCTACCATCGTGAATCTCAAATACGCATGTATCCACATGCGCCAACCGACCGCCATAACGACAACAACTCGCCTATCCAATGCACTACGCTTCCATTACCACCAAAAGCCCACACTGACCCTCCACATGCCCACTCCACGGGGACACCCAAGCCCGCACACCGACCCCCAAAACTCCTCTCCGATCCTCACCATGTACATGGCTCGGCAACGGACCCGTACTATAGGTTCTAACACACGCCGCTCCCGCAGACTAGACCCGCGTGTGCAGCGAAAAAAGCGTCTGGCGTCAAAGTGGTACTTCGCCGAATGTGGTCGCCGACTATAGTTCGGACAAATCACTAGACAGCCAATCAGATCCCCGCAATGAGATGCAGAGGCCCAGTCTTCTGGGGTGGGATTGGTGAACTAGAGCCCGAGGGGATTTATCATGCCTCACCGCAGTGAGGTAGTGTGTTCGCCGTGTGTAGGGGGGTTCGGCGAGGAGGGTATGTGGGATTGCGGAGGAAGGTAGGTGTATATAAGGGTCTCGGTGGGTTGCTGAGCGGACGGAGTGCATTCCAGATCTCTTTCAACCAAGATACGCATTTCGAGACTACTGTTATACCACGCTATACGCTACCGAACTCTACGAAAAGGTTTCGGCATACTTCCTCTTACGTTCGGCATACTTTCATCGGCACATCGTCGGCATCGCCACATATACTCGATATCCACTCCCATACAAACGTTCACAATGTGCAAGAAGGCTTCCTGCGACTCCTGCAGTAGGTCACCTACCACAGTTCTAGTGTACGAACACGGCTAACATCGCCTCAGACAAGACCACATGGTGGGGCTGTGGTAAACACGTCGCCGGCGTCATGGACAACACCCCCAAAGAGCAATGGTGCACATGCGCACCCCGAGTCGAACAACAAGGCACACAATATCCTCCCATGGGCTCACTATCTTCGGCATGACTACCGGCTTGGATGAGGAGCTCGAAGGCCTAGCGACGAGACGATACGGGATGAAGGGCTGCTCTTTTCGGAGTCTGAGAACATATGGAGTACAGGCGTGATGATTTACGATACGAACGAGGCATGGATACGATTTCTGATAGCGTTAGCGATGCGCAATACATACCCAATTCTACCTTTTGAAGACTGCTTTGTCGCTGGTGATCAGCATGCTGTAGTGCTGTGTAGATCGCCTTGTCTGGGCCTTGTGCATGTTGCACATGTCGGCACAACCGTTCGAATGATCACCAGCACGTTTGTCGATGACGGGGATACAAGGTGCGCCTTGCACGACGAGGCCTTCATCACGGTCTGGCGGGACCTGGCATCTTTGTCCGTCGCCCGTTCCAGAAGCATGGTGTTGGGAGCTACGACATGTCACCACCAGCTTTGTAGCACGGTGACCACGGTGACCACGGAGGACAGTGGAAACATCTGGACCGTGGTGATGACAGAAGCTGTCATTTTAGACCCTGAAGCGGGTAAGTTGAGGCCTCAATCCTGTTAGCAAGGCTCGGCGGCCATTTGAAACAGCTTCTGGAAGTCTCAGATGCTTCGAAGTCAAACAGCTATGATGTCGACGGGTGCCGGGCCAGTGAGGCATCTCCCTTCCAATCGGACCCCAAGAAAATGCCGGCGCAGATGCGTGGCGCGTACAGCGCAATGACAAGACAGTCAAAAAGTCTTGTGCCAGACCATTGGAAAGGTAAGAATAGGACGGTTGGTGGTGGATGAGTTGGAGAGAACGCGCGCGAACCAATGGGTTCGGAGAGGGCACACCCGCCATGGTGAGGCTGGTCTCATAATGGGTCTGCTAAGTATAGCCGTTGCAGATGTGGAACTAGGCCCCTGCAACTAGCCAGTTTCAGCCATGGCCCTACAGGATCCTCCGCCATGAGCTTCAGCGACGAGGTGAATGACAGGCAGGCACCCTGCAGCAAGAGGCGCATGTGGTGATGGAAAAGGTAGCGACTGAGAACTGGCATTGGGCAGATGCGGGGAAAGCAGAAAAAGCAACTCTCCAGGACCCCGTTGGATGTCCTGCACGCGGTCATGAAGTAGTGGTAGATCCTGCTAGCGAAACGATTCTCGAATGTTTGAGATCGCTCTCGTGCATATCGCAGTAATCACAGGATGTGACTCGCGCAGCTCACACAATGGCTGGATCACGTCGGCGGTTAGCCCAAAGTATCCATGAATGGCGGCGGCCGTCGCGGACACCAAACGGAGACTGCCACCTGGGGGAGGTATATTTGCAGTTCATAACCGGCGCATGCTGCTGTTATTGTTGAGTAGTGAAAACCACGCGCATTCGTCTCTGCCGCTTCGTATTGTCGTGTATTGTCGCAATAGAGCGTACCT